CGATATTGATATCATACCCAATAGCATGTCCTGATCTCGAAAATGAGTTAAAAGATATTATATCTATTCGTAAACCTTGTCAATCAAGAATTACATCGGGCCCACAAATGACGATATATAATTGGATGCATTGTCAGATGTATATTTTTTTGCCCATGTGACCCAACGACGAACCAGCATACATTATGAGTGACGACAAAAATTAGCCACAATCGCCATTCGAGTGACGTGAAAAATAGAAATCATACGTCAAGCCACAATATATACCTCGGTGGCTTTCGAAATGACGATACAAACGCAATCTACACATCACACCTAGGGATATATAATTGGTCAAGTGACTTGAATTTTGCGATCTACCCATCACTCGAATGACTTGAGTTTTATGATTCGAAAAAAGCAAAACGCACGTCACCTGATAAACGTCTCATCTTTGACGTGGCAAGAATTCTACATGGAACGATCCAAAATACAACGACCTGATACTGAACAGCCGTGGGAATAACCTGCCAGATCTTCCGCTTGCTTTGTATCATCCTGTTTTTGCCGAGTTTGTTGATGACCTTTCAAGTATTCAAATTACGGACGAAGACTGTGACTCAATCAAAAATTTGTTATTCTTAATGTCAGCTTCTTACGAAAATGAAAATGAACGGGTGAATATGTTTCGATCATGGGCAAGCGAGTATTTTCACACCCCGGTCACCAAGCTTCCCTTACCACAAACGATCCAATCAGCTGATGCTGGGATCACTCATAACGTTGACTCAGTACAGCATCTCGTGCTTCTCGGGGAGGCGAAAAACGAACTTGGAGATGGGTCTGGATGTGCATATATCCAAGCATGTGCATCATATACGAAGTTTGTTGGTTCGCAGAACAATCCAGACATACGATACGGACTTAATCCGGCTTTTATTGTGTATTTTGCTGGGGCCACACTTGGCATAGGGGTGCAGTTTTTGGGCGTAGTTAAACAGAATTCAGGAAGAGATAACAAAAGCTTTTTTGTCAACGTCTCTCCGTCAATGAATTCGTTTACGATGCATCCCCTTGTTCACAGCTTTCATTTACTGCCTTCGGAGTTTGATATTGATGGAATGATCGTTGTTGTACGTGCATTTTGTGCTCTGAAACGTGGTATAGAATCATTACGACACTACTATGATGAGTTGAAGCCAGTAGACATTGATAATTTAGATCAACCGAGACATGCCAGCTATCCATATATACGTTTTTTTAAGGATGCAGATAATGCTGTCATCAACTTTGAGTATAAACGCCGATTGTACCCAATAAGTTGCTATTTTTGGTGGTACCAGATAAAAATGAACAAAAAAGCGACTCTTGTCTGCTCGTCAAGTTTGTAAAGAAGTACGGCGAGGACGCGCAGCAACAAATGGCATAATACCACGCGTTCATGGTAATGTAAAAAAATTGCCGTGCTGAAAAACCAAAATAACCATTGATATAAACGTTGCTGCTGCCGTGAAAATTTTTCTCGAAAACTATGCTGAAATTCATGGATTACCAAGTCCTGGTAGAAATGTTAACCGAATTACTCAATTGCTTACGCTTTTACCAGCTGAAACGAGTTACAAATCAGTCTATCGTGATTTTATTGCAGGTCTCGAAAATGATAGTACGTTGAAATTGTTAAAGCATGATGCGTTTCGCAAGTTATGGCACCAACTAACGCCTTATATTCAAATTATGAGTCCAAGAACGGATTTATGCGACACGTGCCAACATTATCGGAACGGTTTACAGTATAACGCTCGTAAAGAAGAAGACTTACTAAAAAAATTCAAAGAACATTTAATTAAGGCTAAATTAGAGAGAAACTATTATAACAAAAATACGAAATTAGCAAAACAACAGAGGAAATTGGTAGATATAACAAGAGGTAAACTAATTATTGTAGTGTTGACGCTACCGCTCATTACAGTTATGATTGAGCGCAAAATGTTCACGTGCCTCATTCCGATCAACAAGTAAGTAAGATTTATTATCTCAGTCCGCGTAAAGTGCATTTATTTGGTATCCAAGATGAAGCAGTACGCGAACAAATTAATTACGTTCTCGATGAAGACGAAATAATTGGCAAAGGTGCTAATGGCACGCTAAGCATGGTATTCGATGGGATTAAGCGATTGAATAAAGGCGAGAAATATCTGAAGATAACTTGTGATAATGCGGGAGGACAGAATAAAAATAACGCCACCATTTAATTTTACCTCTATTTGGTAATTTGCGGTTATTATGAAAGTATTGAAATTAAATTTCATGATACCTGGACATACTAAATTCAAGTGTGATGGTAGTTTTGGCTTGATTAAGAAATTATATAGAAAGACAACAGTAGATTGTGTGAATCATATTGTTGAGGTTGTGAAAAAATTAAGTACAGTGGGATTAAACAAAGCTAAGTGTTATGACAACGGAAAAGGCTTTCAGTACTTGGATTTTAATTCCGTGTTGGGAATTTTCTTTAAGAAATTGAATGGTTTACAAAAATATCAGCATTTTCTTTTTGAAGCAACTAATCCTGGAATTGTCAAAGCTCAGATGGTTGCTAATGGTACTTTTACTGAATTTAATTTGTTAAAAACTAGATATAGAAAAACAAGGGTTTCTGAAATTACCAAAGAAATTAAATTTTTTTCCATTCTAGTACTAACCCCTCCTCCTTTGGATTACAAAAGGCAAGAGTACCTTTATCACAATATTCGTCCATTTGTCAGAGATGAATTTAAAGACATTACTTGTCCAATGCCACAAAATTTTATTGAATAATGGTCAGTTTTATGGTTATTCAAGAATTTGTTGCAGTCATAAAAATATATTATGGAAGAGAAAAAATGTATGGCTTGTATCAAGCAATGCTTCCCTAATGAAAAAGGTCAGCTTAAAAGCTTGATTTCTGATCATGGAACTGTGCTTGCTTCAGTCAATCCGCGCCCTAACTCTAAAGCTCACACAGTAATAGTCACTAAAAGACATGTTGATGATCTAAGAAATCTTACAGAGCAAGAATGAGCAGATATTTTACCATGTTTGAAAGAAAGTATTAGAAAGATTAATCAAGTTTATCATCCAATAGGCTATCAATTAAATATTCCTGTTGGCAAATTAGCAGGCCAAAACATGCCACAGCATTTTATATGCGAGTAGTCCAAAATACCCAGTTAAAGGTAAAGGAAGCACAGGAATTAGAGAACATTACAAATCAGCTACCCCTGAACAAGAAAAGAAATTAATGAAGCTTTTTCTCCAAATAAAGATGGTATTGTTATTAAAAGAGTAAAGTAATTGCTAAACTACATAATGACAAATTTCCTGGTTATGTAATTATTCTTACATATACAAAAGAACATTTATCTCCTAATGTCAACAAAATTGACCAAGAAACTTGAGCCCAAATTGGAGAAGTTATCAGGGACTGATGAAAAAATATGAAACTAAAATAAACTGCCATAATTTTTTTATTGGTTGTAATTTGGGACAAGCAGGCAAACTTGTAGAACAAGAAAAGGGAGAAACTTCATCAAGCAAAGAACGCGACTTATGTTTTACTTTCTTTCCTAAATACAAAATGGAAAGATGATGAATGCCAGATGAAGGCAGGCCTGTTCGAAATAACCAGCCAGTTGGCACCATGGAAAATGAAAGAATTGCAGAAAAACTGATTTCGTGTCCTTTATTAGGCGCAACTAAGGTGGACCTCTAAAGCTGCTTTTTTCACATCATACTAAGTACATGTTTGAGCCCAATAAGGTTTATCTTGTCTATATGCTAAAGGAAGTAATTAAATTAGTATTGAAAATATTATATAATAAAAGAGGGGTAGTGTGGTTACAGCCTCACTGTATCTATTATTGATTTAACAGGGGGCCAAGGGGGTTTTTTGCATGTGTGAGTTGAAAGGGAGAGTGATCTAAAGGAGAGGAGTAAGGAACATAGTGACTCATACATGTGTTGGATTGAGGGGGTTGGTTTTCCCCCAAACACATGTGAGGTATATCCTTTCCATATTGTGTATAGGGCTGCTGATTGAATCAGTCTTCCTGTATGTTGATGGAGGGAGGAAGGATGTGTGATTAGCAGTTTGATGGGATGTCTTGTATTGTTTGGAACAAGGAAAGCAGCACATTCCTCTGCTTTGTCCCATATTTTGCTGGTGTAAGGACAGGATTCAAAAAGGTGGGTGATTGTGAGTTTTGTGGTGATACACCATGGACAGTTTTCACCATCAGGAGCATATTGTTTGACACATATGCCAATTGGAAGACGTTGATGAGCAATTTTCCACCATAGGTCTGAGATCTTTCTGGGTCTATCTTTGTGAAATATTTCCTCCCATGAGAAGACCCCATGAGCATTGAAAGATAGGATGGAGTTTTGTGCCAGTGGTGGTGGTAGGAGAATATTTCGGAGAGTAGGTAGGTCAGGTTGTAGTGACATTGTACCAGGATGTTTGGTCTCAATTGCTTTTGAGGCTTTAAGACCAGTATATCTAGGTTCGCTATGATTGCGAGTCACTTTTCTTAAGAAGATTAATCGAGGTAGTGATGCATTTAGGTCTTGTAGTGTTTCAGCATTAAGGCATTTGGCCCATAGGGGGGGGTTCTGGTGAAAGATTTGACTGAGGCGATGGGCTGCCCTAATGTCACATTCATTGTCAACGTCTGGGTAGCCAATGCCCCCTGACCTTGTAGGAAGGGAGGCTAGTTTGGCACGTGGATGGATTTTCCTTTTTCCCAGATAAAGTCAGCCACAATTCGTTTGAGCTTTTTTCGGGCTGCAGGTGGAGGAGGGGCAATGGATGCTTGATACCATACCATTGACAGGAGTAGGGTTTTGCAGACCAGCACCCTACCTCGTAGTGAGAGGCTACGTGTATAGAGAGAGGCTGCTCTTTTGGCTACTTTGGTTATGAGGGGCTCCCAGAGGAGTTCTATGTTGCTTGGGCTTAAAGGTAAGAATACCCCAAGAATTTTAATTGGTCCGAGTTTTGTTGAGGTGGGAATGTTAGGGATTGGAGGGAGGTTATCAGTGAGAGGGACAATTGATGTTTTGGACCAGTTTACTAGTGCCCCAGATGAGTGCTCATATGTCTCAAGAAGGTTGGAGAGGGTCTTCCAGTCCCGCATGTCATTGCCAAAGACATAAGTGTCATCAGCGTATGCACAGACTTTGATAATGCCTCCAGGAGTGAAAATTCCCTGTAGGTGCTCACGGAGAGAGTTGAAAAGAGGCTCAACAGATAGATTGAAAAGGATAGGGGCAAAGGGGTCTCCCTGTGGGACCCCTTTGGCTACTTGAAAAGGTTGGCCCAATTGTCCGTTGATGAACATTTGGGTGTTACGATGGTGGTATGTAGTTTTGATTGCATTCTGGAGAGTGTTTGGGAGGTTTAGGTGATGTAGTATGTGGTCTAACCATGTATGGGAGACCCTATCATAGGCTTTGGACCAGTCAAGAAGGAGAATAAAGGAGTGTGGAGGGGGTGAGTGTAGAGAGAGTGTTGCATTGATGTCCATTATGGTGTCTGTAATGTGTCTGTTTTTCATAAAGCCTGTTTGGTTGTGGTGAATCAGTTGAGGGGCATGTTTTTGAAGGCGATTTGATAGGATAGTGGAGAGGATTTTGATGTCTGTATTGGAGAGGGTGATAGGTCTCCAATTCTGAATGTGCGTTCGGTCTTCCTCTTTTTTTGGTATGAGGACAGTATGTGTACTGGACCATGATTTTGGAGGGGAGAAACCATTAGCTATTTTGTTGAAGATGTTGCAGAGAACGTTGGCTAGGGGGGATATATGGGATTGGTAGAATTCATATGGTATGCCATCAGGGCCTGGAGAGCTACCATTATCTTTGGAGTTTATAGCTGCAATTACTTCTTGGACTGTGAAAGGTTGGGATAGTAATTCAGCTGTTTTGTCTGTGATGGATGGGATGAATTTTGTCAGGTTAGCAGTATTGGTGTGATTGGGAGGGGAGGCATCCCAAAGTTGTTGATAGAATGAGGTTGCATGGTGGATAATGTGTTCGATTTCCTCAGTAAGATTTAGGTCCTTGGGTTGGTTGGTGTTGTGTAGAGGATTGGTGGAGCTAGGTTGATGTGTCAGTGAGGTGTAGGAGGATAGTGATAGTTCTGAGGATGAGGATGTGGGTGTGTTAGGTGTAGAAGATGTTGGGGATACAGGGACATATAATGATGTCATAGTGGCTTTTTTGCGTTTATGTTGGAAACGACTGTAGAAGTATTTGGAGCTAGATTCTCCTTCTTCATACCATTTTACTTGAGAGCATATGGCATAAGCTTTGGAGGTTTCTTCCTCTAAGGCTTTAAGTTTTCGAGTGAGATTAGCTATTAAATAGGTGTTGGGGTGGTTTTGTCTCTGGATTTTGTTGATGCGGTTGGTCAGGTTTGTTATTCCAGCTTTCCTTTTTCGTGCAAGGAGTTTTCCCATGTCCCTGCAGGTGATCTGGATTTGTTGTTTAAAGTCATCCCATGTAGTTATGTCCAGGTGTGGGTGGGCAACCAGGATAGTTTTTTCTAGCTCTTTCTGTACTTGCGGGTTGGATAGCATTGAGGTGTTCATTCTCCATATATCTGATTTCTTTTTGTGAGCGGTTTGGAAGATGAGGGCCTTATGATCTGAGTCACTTCCCATATGTTTAGTGAAGGTGATATGTGAGTCAGTGATGAGAGGTGGACTGATCCAGATATAGTCTAGCCTGGATCTGGACCAATAGCTCTGTGTATCCCTGTAGTATGTGTATAGTGGTTGGGAAGTAGTGGTGTGAGCAACATCGATGTGTTCAACTAGGTGCGGGAGGATCAGATTTGTTAGTGGTTTGATCTGGTGTGTTGTTGATGAGATGTGGTCTTTTTCTTCAAGGATAGAGTTAAAGTCTCCTGCGATGATTGATGGGGACATGGGAATGGGAGGAAAGGAGTGCCAGAATTGGCGTTTGTCAGTAAGGTTTGCAGGAGAATATACATTACGTACCATAATTGTTTGTCCATGCCATTGTATTTGTATGTCTAGAATGCATCCATTATTGGTTGTTTGAATGAGTGAGGATGAGTTGGGTTGATAAATGAGAGTGGCTGTATATGGTGTGAGATAAATATCCCCTGGCCATATAGATTTCCATAGATGTTTGAGGGTTTCAAGGTTAGTGGGGTTGGTGTTGTCGTTGGTGATGTGTATTGGTTCTTGGAACAATAGGATGTCAGGGTGGAGTTTGGAAAGTTTGTGTATAATTCGTCTAAATTTACTGAATTTAGACAGTCCGCGAGTATTTAGTGTGATGATATTCATTTTTGTTGATTAAAAGGTGTAGGTGTAGTTTAGGGGAATGCCAGATGGGTCAGTCATTTGTGCATTGACTATGTTGGATTGTTGTTCGTCATCGCTTGTGATTCCTACATCTCTGTTGAATGTGTAGTGCTCGATGGCCATTGTTTCATCATCTGTGCCCATTGCATCATCCTGGGCCAGTGAGTTGCCAGTATAGTAATGCATGGCTATGGATCCTCGTCGGGATTGTATGGGAGATGTTTGTGTTCTGATTGGTGATCCTACTTCTGTGATAGTTGTCTTCGATGATGATGCCACAGTTGTTGGGGTTGATACATGTACTAAATTAGGATGATTTGCAGGATTGTGTACAGATCCCTGCAGCGAGTTGTTTGTTGCATGCACAGTCGGGGTGGCTGTGTTGGATTGTATTTCAGGGGCAGTTGTTTCAGATTGTTTGGCCTGGGGTTTCGGGGGGTTGGCAATCTGCACTTTTGGTTGATTTTTCGGAAGGTGTTTTGGACATTTAGAAGAGTAATGCCCGGCACTTTTGCAGGACAGGCAAGAGGGTGGTGCTCCTCTCCAGTTGGCAATGATGGTGGATCCCAAGAGTGGGAAGGCCACTGGTGCTTCAAGTCTGTCAGCTTCGGGGGTAATTTCTACAATCATGTCCCATCGTCTGGTAGTGATAGAAGTTCCTTTGTATGTGAAGGGTGCAATTGCTTTGACTGAGGCATATTGTCCCCAATGTGTGGTAAGGGCGTTTTCCACTTGTGGACGAGGGAGCAATGGAACATTAGCCAGTTTGATCCTTAGGATCCTTGGTGCTTTATTTCTTGGAGGAAGGGCTGCCACCCGTTTTTCATTGATGAGGAGGGGGGTTTTGAGGAAGTTGTCTGCAGTCTTTTCATCTGCAAAGGCTGCTTCCAATAACCCCAGGTCTTCACGCAGGGCAATGCCAGTGATTCTGGATTTGAGGTAGTCGAAAAGGTCTTGTTCACTTACAGGGAGGTTACGGAGGTCAAAGAACACTGAGTTTTTCAAGTCAGTGTTGGGAACCTGTCTGTTGGAGATGGCAACATCATAGTCTAAGTTGCATTCAGTGTTTTGGAAGGAAAAAGGTGAGCTTTGGGGGGTAGCTTTTTTAGCAGCTGCTGCATAGGACTTGGTAGGCATTTTAGTTTGTTTAGATGAAGACATTTTATTAGTTTTATGGCACCTATATTAATCTCTCTTTACTGGAGGTGGGTCTAGTTACTGCGGTTCAGAATGGTAATGGGACAAGATGGGACAAGAGAGATGTTGCAGAAAAACTGAATGACCCTAAAGAATATGCCAAAGTTTGGGGTAAGAGGGATAAAGGTCAAGAAGTAATCAAAACATCAAGAGAATTGACTGAAGTTAAACGATTAGAAGAAAAAAAAAAAAACAAAACAAAGAATAAGAAGCTCAAACAAAATATCTCCATTATGATTAATTTCAGCAATGCTTATAGCATCAGGGATTACAGCCCTAGTATTTTGGATGCTAAGAATATTATCGCTATAAATAGAATTCTTGGTATTAACAATAACTCGCTATAACGATGAAAATGTGACCTAACGGGAGTATCGTTATATCCAGTCTTGACTGTACCACCGATCTCCCATTATTCGTCCATCCAATCAGAATAATTAAAAATTAACCAACCGGAATTGGAATAGAAGTAGTTCGTAAAACATACACAACCTCCTACATAGATAATCATTATTTTTTTTACATAGGAAATTGTCTTTCTTCCACACATGCTTTGCGATAAGACATGCGAAAACGAAGCTTCAAAAGTTTATAGGAGGAAGGGCTCGACAATATCTATTAATTTTCATAACAAAAACCTCAAGTTATGGGGTTCGAAATCCCCGCGATTCCAGATCGTCATTGCGTTAACCAATTTTCGTCTTGCAGGAGCGATCTCAACCCTAAAGGGAATGAAACTCCCTTCCATAGCTTGTTTCAATTTTATATTCTCGGCTTTGATCTCGGCATTCTCCTTTCTAAGCTCGGCAATCTCGGCTACAAGCTTGGAATTCAATTCCTTCAATGAATTAATTTTAAACTCTGTATACAAGATACGGCTATGTTTAAAAGTTTATCAAAAATCCTCAAACTATCGCTATGATTTATTCTTTGCACCATCTATTTCGGGGTAAGATGTATTATATGAGATGGGATCAAAGTAGTATTATTTTTCTCTCTTAAATATACTGTCTTAGTATAACTCATGATGTCGACTCTAACAAAAGAAACTATAAATGAACAAGCAAGCATAATTCGAGATTACTGAGATCAGATATATAAATTGGTTAGAGATTTATCAAAACATTTAGCTTCTGTATCTTCTTCCTTACCACAGACTTGAGATAAGAAAATACGAAGAAAGCTTTCGTTAATATGAATTCCTGTACCTGGAGAAAGACGTAATCGTAATTCGGAAAAAGTTTGGCATTGAGAGCGACAAATTTCGACTCCAGCCCATGATATTACGTAATATAGATCAAAAGTCGCAAGATCACGAGTAATGCAAATATTAATCTAGACACATATCACACTTGGATCAAATCTTTTTGACAGCTCAAAAAGAATGGTCAAATTTCAACCACTTGGCGCTTTGGTGAAGGCATTTTCTTCAGGGAAGATTCATTTACCACACAAGCCGATAAGCGAGACCAGGTGGGTAGGCATCACACTGATTCATTTTGAGAATCATCTCGTATTGATTTGTATGGATTGCAGTGTTCCTTATCTGCTTGCCTCAGACATATCCGTGCAAGAATTCAATTCTTTCATCGAAACTAAAGAGTCAAGTGGATACAAATTTGAGTACAACAACCGCTGTGTATATATAGTCGACATGAGCTCATGTGAACATGAAGCTGTTATTGAACAATTATGACATTTCTTCCTTGCTCCCTTCCTTGGTACTCACTTTAGAAAATATCCTGTCCAAATTCGTGGACAGTCACGTAAGGGAATTCTTCCAGTTTACTTGATCCTTGGCTTATTGATTTCTAATATTTCGCATCATCTTTCCACAGTC